GAGCGCCCTAACCACTTTGGCCATGCCGGGCATGGAGTTTGTGAAATGGTTTAGATATTTCCTGAAACCAGTTTCGGACATATTTTTCGTAGAATCACAGTATACCAAAAAAAAAAAAAGAACGCAGGAAATATGATTTGTAACTTAGAACAGTGTGCTATAAAAACAAAAGGCATTATAACTTTTTGGAGTCGTTGTTTTATTTTTGTTGTGTTTTTTTTTTGTTTTTAAAACGTAGTGGTGACAATGCTACAGAAAGAACTATCAATATTTTTGATATAAGGTTTTCAAACATTTAAATGATCTAGGGAAAACTATAACGGTTAATAGATAATAGAAAAATGACAGATGTGTATTTTTTATAGGTCACAACTTATGTCGGTCTCAATATATCTAAATATTTCATACGCTTCATCTTCTCCCCCTCAACTGAGAAGCACCAATTTTAGACAAAATTAACCTCATTATTAACCAGCCTATTTCAAAAATTAATTTAAACAAAAACATTAAGCAAATTCATTTGCAATACTAGCGAACCCTTGGGCCTATGACACACATTTACAGGCCGCTATCATGCAAATTTAACGCTTGAACTACCATTTTACACTTTTTCAGGTTAATGATTATTGTCTATATAGTGTAAGTTTAATTTCTTTAACCAAGTTACAGACAGTAATTAGTAGTCTAACTTATTTACTTGCATCAATGTAAATCAATGCCAAATTTGAGGTCCGCATTTAGGGGATTCTCCGTGAAAGTATTTTCGCGAAATGCCCGAGTTTCCTAAGGGGTTGGATGAAAACTTTTACCTTTGTGCCTGTGTCTCAGGGCCGAGACGATTCGTTTAGCACCAGTTAGAAGTTGGTGAGTCCAGCAGTTTAGGAAGTGTTATGTGACACACAGACACTGAATCGTAGTCTATGGATAATTGCTTTCTTCGCAACTTTATTTTTGGTAAGTAATAGTGATGGACAACTGCTGTAAACTGTTCTCTGATCTTCCGAAATAAATAGGCTTTTCATTTGTGAGAGAATTTTGTGATTAATAATAACAATATACTATTTTCATAAACTTTTGCATTTCTATATGAATTGCCATAAATAATTATTAACATGAAATTCTCTTCGGACAAGAAATGCAGCCGGAATTAACATGTAAAACATATGAAATTGCGATTTATACACACCGACCAGCATTTCGACCTATTAAAAATATAAGGATGATCAGTACCAAACCGACAATTATTTCTACAAAGAAGATCATGAAGTTAAAACGGTCAGCATGTCTACATAATACGTAAAAAAGTGATGATTGTATTAAAATCAACAGACTGTCTGTATAGTAAATCATAAAGCGTTTTCTTTACCGCACCTACCAAGATTTCTATCTGGTTAACCAATAGGTGTTATCTTTGTAAAATTGACTAATATTTTAAACGTTAAACCACAAATTTTAATCGAACGGCTTTCTGTTTATTAAATTAGAAATTAGAATATGTATTAAAGCAAACAACATGTGTAGATCATAACACAGAAAACGTTTTCTCTAGTACAAAGACCATCATTCATATCTAATTAACCAGAACGTATTTAATGCATCAGGATTTTTGTTTTGTATGTTAATTTGACTAGTACAGCAGGTGGTAAACAATAAAGTGTGATATGTAATAATTAAAAGGCTTTCTATCTAGCAAATCACAACGTGTTCTATGTAATAAATCAAGAAGGTGTTTTCTGTATTACATTTATTAGTATGTTTTCGATATAGAGGGCGTTAATGGGGTCTAAAATGACTAGCATTTTTATCTATTAAACCTGGTGAAAATATTTATATTAACCTGATCACTGTTTTCATATGTTTCCTTTAATGAACTGACAAACATTTCTGGAAGATAATCATAACGCATAATTGGCAAGTAGCTCAGCCAGCAATTATATCTTGTAAACCAAATAATTCGCTGTGCACTAAACTGACCAGAATTTCTGTTAGTATCTATAAAATATGATCTGTACCAATCCAAACAGGATATCTGTCCAACAAAACATTTATTGTAACCTGCACTTAACCGACCAATACTTCTATATAAGTATATCTTGCAAATCAGGTAATTCAAACGACAATAACAATAGATTCGTAACAAACAAAAATTAAATATACCACATACAATACAAAAGAGATATACATTCATAATTCGTTGCGGTCCATGATTTCTTTTGTACTGGTTCTGAAGATGGAGGAAAATCCTAAAACCGAGCGCCTTCATTAAAAGTAAATGGTAAAACTGTACGGACTTTTTAAAAGTTTTAACAAATACTTGTCCCGAGATGATGAAGTTCAGGGTAATGTACAAACTCTCAAATTTACGAGAATGACTTCAGGTACTCCATAAACATAAAAATATTATTGTCGTGGAAAAATTAAATAACCGATACTAGTGAAACAAGAAAACAGCTTTACATGAGTACATACATGTAAAGGAGTTTCTGATATGCTATTAATTCTCTTCCTATGAATAAACTATATAAAAAAGATAGCCTCGCTTACCTTAAGTTAACAAACTTTGATTGCTCTTTATTTTTGCAGGTAAGGGATCTATCAATTTTTCGACAAACTCTTGCAGTTACGATACACAAAAATGTAAAAGACACCTGGAATCAAGGAAAAATAATTATTTTGATTAATTGTTAGATGTGTTAGGTTAAATATTAACTAACATTTACGGACTAACTGGCATACTGACTTACAATGTAGTAACTTAAATAGATTAGCAGATGACGCTCTTGCATTTTGAGCAAATACAAATTACCATTGAGTATTAACTCTATTGAAGAATATTTTGGTTATTTAATTATGCGGGTATTATAGAACATCAATATATTAGGGTTATGCACTTCAGAACAATTCAAGGATTTTGCACTTTGAATTTTTAGCAGAAACAAAATAAAACAAGAAAACCACATTATTCATATATATTGTAAACAAACAAACATGCATACATAATATATTATAAGAACTTTGAGATTATATTAAAGATAATAATAATTATAAGACACACAAATTTATATTTCATGTTTGTCAAATGTAGATTGTGTTTTATATTGCTAAAATTGTCTATTCTGAGACACACAGGTTCATAGTTTTTTTCCCTTTCTTATTGTACATCTGACCCGAAACAACTTTAATGTTTGTCTGCTAAAATTATAGAAACATGGCGTCATAAAATAGCTGAGCTGCATGTAAGTTTAAATATTAATTAACATAGAATCGTTTATAGATTTATTTTAGTTTCTCGGAATAAAAAAAGGCAAGGGGTTATCTAGAATCAGATTTTATCAGGTTGCCCAATCACACAAACAAAACAACGAAGTAAAAGAAAATAAACGTATATTATAAAATTTCAAAGGCTTGGTATGAAAATGACTAGTTATAGCTGTGATAAATTAAATGCTTATATTAGAATCTACATTACCATATGAGCTCCATAAGTACAACGTTTGATATTTTTTAAGAACGATGTTCAGTTTATTACATCATGAAAAGAAAGAAATGCTGCAGAAAACTAGTAGATAAATAATTGTCATTAGGCGACTATAACTGCTACAGTAATCTTGAGCAATATAATGAATTAAAGTATACTAAATATAAAGCTAATCAATAAAAAACGATTGAATTATTTAGCTAAAAACAATAATATAAGACTTACTAAAACGCAAACAAGGGCAGGTCCTACAAATCCAAAGATAATGAAGTTGTCTATTTCTAACCAGCAGTAGGACTTGGTCCCGTACGTCTGAGGATTGATGATAGCACAGACACCCACAGATATAATAGGTAAGCCATATCCTGAACAGTAATACCACCTCCAGCGACGCCTAGCAGTACCATTGTAATTCTTCTTTTCCAAAGACATTAGGAGTAACTGGAGGGACTCTAGAAACATCCACATGAAAGCAGTTAAAAATAAATAGTGTAATAATCCGGCCACAACACCACATATGACTCTGCTCATCACTTTGTCAATTCCTCCAATAAAAACCACTTCAGAAACAACCAAACAGAAACACGTGTTTTTCTGAATCACGTGCCGATCATCTTTTACGCCTCTGGAAAAATAAAAGAAAACTTATTGAAATGATACTAAAAAATTTCTAACATTTTTCTTCAATTGATTATTTTAACCTACATATTAATGAAAAACGGTCAAAACTACAGAAAACATTGAGTGGGGCATAAATATTAAACAAAAAATTCAGTTTGCACAAGAGTGTCTAGGGTCACGTGTTTTCAGCATGGCTATTCGTCGTTTAATTCAGAACATTTCTATGAATTATGAGTTCTATCGATTTCAAATAATAAAGCATACGTTCCCTGAAAACAGCTGATAAAGGGCTACGTTTTCTATATAAAATGTTTGGACGTCTTAAACGCAAAGTTCAAATAATTCAGGGTTGAATGAATTAAAAATAGTAGTTAAACACTTACTATGCATAAGTAATTTTATTACATAATTATGACTGTACTTCTAACGCCTTAAAACTACATCTATATTTATTATTCTGATTATACCAGCTGTACGTACTTTACATTTGTAGTGAAATCAGTCTGACGGCAGCTATAATAAACTAGACGAAAGCCTTCAGTAAATAAGTTTCAACATCATAAATTGAAAGCTGTTCATTGTTTATTTATTGAATCTTTCCCACCCACATTATGAGTCTTAAAGACTATAGTAATGAAGACCAGTATAGTATACTGGTGAAACAAATGCTTCGTAGAATGTAAAAAAAAATAACTTTTCTTTCAATAGGAAATTTGCCATACTATTAGCTCTGTCCTGACTTAATATCAACCTACCAATTTTAACCCTTTATAACTGTTTTAGTATAAAACAGCCTTTCCAGATATTCATTAAAATATGAAGTATAAGGTTTAATTTTGTATCATATTTATTATTTTTATCAAACCTTTCATTCTCTAAAGCTTTACCAAGTTGAAATATACGTAGGAAGAGGCCCACATAGGGTGAAACATCTACACTTAAAACACAGAAGCACTGGTGCATGGATATTCAATTTTACAACCACCGTAAAGTTCAAACAAATGCTTTAGTTCTACCAATTTATGGTTGAGTTATCAGGTTTTAAAGCAAAAGGCTTATCCAAACAAAGTTAATCTAAGTTAGCCGTATGTCATAAAAAGGAACTTACTGGTCAAATATGCTAAGTATAAAAAAGAGAGAGAATAAAAACTTACCTAATAAAATGAAGAGTTACAAAAGTGACCAATAAGAAAAATATAGCTATTCCACATCCTACGATCGTCACTATTTCGACAGTTAATAGATTATCCTTTTCTATCTGCAAGTAACAAATTCAATCAGTGTTAATCGTGTTCAACATAAGTTGATTATCAATCGGGGTTAATCGTGTTCAACATAAGTTGATTATCAATCGGGGTTAATCGTGTTCAACATAAGTTGATTATCAATCGGGGTTAATCGTATTCAACATAAGTTGATTATCAATCGGGGTTAATCGTGTTCAACATAAGTTGATTATCAATCGGGGTTAATCGTATTCAACATAAGTTGATTATCAATCGGGGTTAATCGTGTTTAACATAAGTTGATTATCAATCGGGGTTAATCGTGTTCAACATAAGTTGATTATCAATCGGGGTTAATCGTGTTCAACATAAGTTGATTATCAATCGGAGTTAATCGTGTTTAACATAAGTTGATTATCAATCAATGTTTATCGTGTATTCAACATAAGTTGATTAAAGTGCAAAAAATAAATGTTATAACCTGTTACTCATAACTCATAAATTGTCAATAAATGACCCCAGTGCTGTCAATTCCTACGTTAAAATATATAGAAAGATAGATACCTTGTTAGGAGAAATATCCATGATTAAGGCAAAGTTTGTCAGGTGATTACAAGAACACTTTGTATGAGACTTATTTGTTTCTATTATCCAACAGCCTTCAGCAGACCAGTGCCTAAAATAAAACCAAAACCAAATGCAGTAGCATTCATCCAGAAAACGACACTAAAACTCTGGCTTTAGAATTTTTAAAAGTATATCCATTCTGATATTTGTTTTATTTTTAAGCACCTTATGCTTATGACATTATGAGAAGATTCTTTCTTTGTTTCGTTTGGATATTTGCGCAGAATTGTTTGTCTTGTGTTTAAGCGTAAAACTAAGTAATGGGATGCCTCCACTGACTCCCTCACAGCAGAAGTGTTAGTATTATGTATTATAAGGCCACTAACATGCCACTGAGCCACCGGGACTATTTGCACAAAGCTACAAAAGAGCTATATAAGCTAGCCATCCTTAATTTTGAACTGATAAACTAGATTGGAAGAAGCTTGGGATAGATTGGGCTACTATAATCGCATAATGGAATTTGTCCTTTACTCTTATAACTCACCCACGTCTCCAAAGTGCGCGGGCAGAGTGCGGCTTTGAGGTTTGGTGGCTTGCGTCCCATTACCGCCAAAACAAACAAAAACATCTTGTACCACTCTTTTTGGGCCATATGTGCATTATAAGAATGGCGGTCAAATACTATTATTAGGTAGAGTTGGCGGTGGGTGATGTTGACTTTCTGCCTTCCCTCTAGTCTATCACTTCAAAATTAAGGACGGCTTACAGAGATATCCTTTGTACATAATTTAATATACCAACCCTCGAGTTCACTGTCCGGAAACTAACTACGTGGCCACACCCGGCACTATACGAGATGGAATTTAATGTATGGCAACAGAAAAAGCATAGCATGGTTTGTAATTAGGCATAGTGGGAATTTTTGTGTTCACTTTCATTACCACGAATTTTCACATCAAATGGTACTTAATGTAATTATTCTCTTTGTCATTTATTATCATTTATTGTCATTTTCTTTGTTTGTTTGTTTTGAATTTCGCTCAAGTCTACACGAGGGTTATCTGCGCCAGCCGTCCCTAATTTAGCAGTGTATGACTAGAGGTAAGGCAGCTAGTCATCACCAATCACCGCCAATTCTGGACTACTCTTTTACCAACGAATAGTGGGATTGACCGTAATATTATAACGCCCCCACGGCTGAAAGGGCGAGCATGCCAGACCCACCATTTTGTTAAAAGGAACGAAAGTTAGATCTAAGATCAATGCGTTAAATTCAAAGGAAAGTTTTATTTGTTATACAGTTACATCGGTCGATTTCTGATGGTTTCTCTTTGATTGCTCGTCTGAGATGATGAAGGATGATTGTTTTATCAAAACAATTCGTTTCTTTCATGATTATATATATTTTTATTGGTGACTCCTCATTGCTTGTTTGTTATTGAGTTGAAAGTCTGGCAACTAAGTAACTTATATAAGATTAAGTTTATTTTTCCTTTAAACAACAACAACACATCGGTACACAACCATAAACCAATGAAGGATTTATGTTCAGCTTCCCAAAAGTTTTTTACTCTTTGTTTGTTTATTGTTTAGCACAAAGCTACACAAGGGGATATCTGCGCTCTGCCCTTAACAGGCATCGAAACCCAATTTTAAGTGTTATAGGCCCTCAGATTTACCGCTGAACATAAAATTATAGATTTCAACACATACTTTCAAAAGGAAAACTGTGTTCTGCAGCTCTACCATTACTGACTTTGAATTTTACATAAATTGCCTTGTTATTCGATTCTGAAAGTTAATATATATTTGTACCACTGACAGTTAGATATCAGCTTCTGTCAATCCAGAGATATGCTTATTTGCTTTTTAAATGTTTTACTTGGCCAGAGCTGGAAGCTTTGCCGTGATTGAACTATATATATATATATGGGGATTAGCTTCTATAAGCCCATCAAGGTATAAACACCTTGAATACTTTAACTGAGAGCGAGCGAGATGAAATTTCAGGTAGCAAGAAGCACATAGATACTAATAAATACTGCGTAGCTCTGTGGCTCGGCATGGCCCCATTATTAGAGCGCTTGACTCGCAATCTGAGGGTGGCGGGTTTGAATCCTCGTCCCACCAAACATGCTCGCTCTTGGAGGCGTTATAATGTGACGGTCAATCCCACTATTCGTTGGTAAAAGAGTAGCCCAAGAGTTGGCGGTAGGTGGTGATGACTAGCTGCCTTCCCTCTAGTCTATCACTGCTAAATTAGGGACGGCTAGTGCAGATAGCCCTCGTATAGCTTTGCGCGAAATTTAAACAAAAAACGTAGCTCTGCAGTGTATTTTTGCACAACCATACCCAATTAAAGTGGGCTTTGAATAAAAAATACAAAAACATTGACAGTTGTGAATATATATATTTTCAACACCTTTCATTGAAACAGCGGGAGTTTCACAGGTTTAAGTAGGCTTGGTGATTAGGACCCTCGACTTGCAATTTGAGGGTTGCGGGTTCGAATCCCCGCCACACCGACACGCTCGCCCTTTCAGACCTGGGGGTGTTATAATCCCACTATTCGTTGGCAAAATAGTAGCCCAAGAGTTGGCGGTGGGTGGAGTTGATTAGCATCCTTCCGTATAGTCTATCACTACTAAATTAGGGACGGCATGGGCGCGAAATTCACAACAAACCAAACCAGTTTACGTAACTGTTAAAGAAAATATATTCGGTTTAAGAATAATAATGATAGTAATTTATCAACATGTTTGGTGTGCTTGCGCAGTCCTACAATACAGAAACTTTACGTGCAGACGTGGTTTGTTTAGTATTTGTACGTGGCATGTCTAATACACAAAGTTATGTTTGTGCCTGTATGTTGGTACCTTTCAGCCCCTATTATAATAGGCCTATAAATATTTGAAGTCATCGTACTGAGGTTTAATGTCTGTGACGTGACATTTTTAATGTAAATAAAACCTTTGTGATCTAATATTTTGATTTAAGTTGAAGCGAAGTCAGAAAAATGTATGAGTACTTTATAGAGAGGTGTGCTGCCGTTATGAGAATAAAAATCCATCAAACGCTGACACGACTACTGACAAACAAGGCTAACTTTTTTATATACTAATCAAGTTGAACCCGCGAAATTCTCAAAAATAAATTGTTTTTTATTCACTTTATCTTGGGAGGGGAGAGGGGAGCTAGGTATGATAAACATTGCTGACTCTGATTATGTACCTCAGAGTAAAATGTCGAGAAAAAGAAAAACAATTCTGACTGCCAATCACAAGCAGCAAAACATATGCAACAAAGGCGACAGAGTGAGACTCCACAAGAAAGGGAAACACGCCTTAACAGCTAACGAATAAAAAGACAAGCAACTCATCGTCAAGCCGAGACTGAGAAAAAAAAAGGGGGGTTTAGCAAAGACAGTGACCGCATCCGCCATGCAGAGCTCTGTTCGTAAGAAACATGAGACCTTCTCGGCGAGGAAATAGAGAAAGATATCATTCTAATAGTTAGGAGTGGGTTAACTATACGATAAATCTATGATTTCATTTATTTTCTTTAATTTTTACGCTCTTAAGCCATTTATCTCACACAAAATATGACCATTTGACATGTATTGTTATATGAAAAGCGAAATTTTGATCTATTCTGTTTAAAAATAGCTAAACACCGACCCTCTGTTCAGGTAATACCCGGGAAACTCCGGGTAAGAACGGCTTGTTATGTATAAATAAATTTTATATGTATCATATGTAAACACACTGTGTATAGAGACATCATGTATAGACACGCCATGTGTAGGTACAGCATATATATATATATATTTATATCATGTGTAGACACATCATTTTTTATAGACGTATTATGTGTAAACGTTCTATGTATAAATATGCGTCTTACCTCGTACTAAACTCCAAGTAAACGCATTGTGGATTAGTAACGTTTTCTTCCTGCAAATACAAGAACCATGCTTGTAAGTTTTTCTTTAAATATTCAACGAGAAGAATAGTATTCTAGTCAGCGTTCATTTCCGTAATATAACAAGATGGAGAAAGCAGAATGCATTAAACAAAGTTCGTGCGGCGGGTGCTAATAGTATAAAAAACATCTGAGAATATCTCTGGTTAAGCAATTTTACAATCTTGTTTTTCTTATAGATAATATGAGATCCTGATTTTAAAATTAAGGCGTTAAAGACCCCATCTTTGTTCGAAAAACTTATGTTTAAAAGCATTTAGTCTATTTCATCTTATATCATGTATCTATTGCACGCTATAATAGATATTTCTTCCTCTAATGAATTTTAATTTAATAAATTTAAACACGAATAACAAAATACAAGGATCGTAGAAACATTTATATCAGGGGAAAAATTTAGCATCAAAGACCACTTTTGGTTTTTAGAAGTATTTAAATACGACTACAATAGAAACATGAATACGTAAGAAAATGTGCCGGTCAAAATATTCCAACTGTCATTGAACCTCAGATTCATAGATCATAGATCATAAGCAGAAGTGTATCACTTCTAACTAATACTTAAAACTATTCTTAGAAACTGCGAATTAAAAATAAGTCTTTTTCTCATTCTTAAGAAAAACACATAGTTTAGTATAACCTTTTCAATTCCCTTAAAATTTTTTACTTGTGTTTTAGACGCAGGAGCCTTTAACTTTACATTGGTCATAGATCATAAGCAGAACTGTATCACTTCAAATTAATACTTAAAACTATTCTAGAAACTGCGAATTAAAAATAAGTCTTTTTCTCATTCTTAAGAAAAACACATAGTTTAGTATAACCTTTTCAATTCCCTTAAAATTCTTTACTTGTACTTTAGACGCAGGAGCCTTTAACTTTGGTACATTGGCTACTAGAGTTCCATTAAACCCATGGAGATAAGTTACAACATACATATAATATAATGGCAGCGCAATACGAGCGCGACAATGGTTCCAACACGTTTAAAAATACATGTTAATAAATTTATTAATATATTTCAGATATTCTATGTTACCTAACTCTATCGAACTGTGAAACTTATGCAAATGTAATGATATTTATCAAAAAATAAAAATAAACAAGGTAAACAATATATGTCATAGCAATTTATTGACCAACGATTAAAAGCTAAAGTTACGTTCATAAAACTAAATTAAGAGAAAGCAAATCGAATTTATAAAATATCGAGAAATAAATATTTGATTTCTATTTTTTTTACTTTGTAAAATATACAGATATATATTTATTTTATAAAATATACAAATATATATTGACTTTATAAAATATTCAAATATATATTGACTTTATAAAATATACAAATATATATTGACTTTATAAAATATACAAATATATATTGACTTTATAAAATATACAAATATATATTTATTTTATAAAATATACAAATATATATTGACTTTATAAATTATACAAATATATATATTGAGTTTATAAAATATACAAATATATATAGTGAGTTTATAAAATATACAAATATATATATTGAGTTTATAAAATATATAGAAATAAATATTTGCTATATACGATTTTGCTTTATAAATAAATAGAAATACATGTTTGCTATCTATTCTCTTGCTTTATAAATTATATAGATATCAATGTTAGCTATATACTCTCTTACTACAACTTCTAGCAAAACGTTAATATATAGCTGTATTAAATTGAAAATTAAAGTTTATTTTTTAATTATAAATTAGCTTGATGAGTACCTGTAAATGCTTCAGAATAATGGTCACAGGCTGGTGAAGTCGCACCATTCGATACCGATCAATAGAGGCGCTAAGAACACGTGAGTTGATTATTTGTGTTTTATTGACCACCATTGAATTCTGGGTGTCATCGAAGTTGGTAGAAACAGAAAAATGATCCTCAGGAGAAATAAAGTCTTGAATGTTCTTGTATGCTACGAAAACAATCTCCACGCGGCCTAATCGAGAAATACACACGTAATAGTAATGGAATTTATACATTGTTTGTGATAAATACGAAAATATTATGGAGACATAGTCCAATGATACTACGTACTAATTTCTACAAAGATGACTTGATATCCTGTCCTTATCAGATGCGGATTTATATTTTAGTTTTTTTATATGTTAATATATTTAATGACAATCGTTAAACAAAGATAGATGTTTCTATCTTTGCAACAGTTGTTTAAAACACAGCATATTAGGCTAGGTTGTATAATGAGCCAAGCATTCTGTATAAAGTACACCTCATGTTTAAAGATTATAATTCTTTGTATCTTAAAACCTACAAATTCTCTGAGGCTTTTCATTTTTTGCTAGAAAATACTTATGGAAACAATCTTTTAAACTTCCATCAAAATTACTCTATAAAATTTTATAACTTAAAAAAGTTGCTCTTCTTCTTACAGCTCAAAATAGTAGATAAACCTATTGATGAGTCAAAGAAAGAATAAGTGGCTTCTAGATAAAAGCTACTGTCATAAAAATTACCGCTCCTTCCGCTTCCGACTAATGCTTGGGCTGGTAGTAATATGACGTCATGGATTGGAATCCAACTTGTCCCCACTACATCCTCTCTAAGAGGGAACTTTACGGTCGTTATTGACCAGGTCTCCACCAGCCGAATCGAAATCACTGGGGAAAAAGGTAGAATTTCAAAGTTACTTATTTGTCCTTACAACGAAAAAGGTAGAAAGTTTTCACATAAGATAGTAATTTAAAGTATGTAAGATTTTGTTCTTCTTTTTTTAATCTGTTTTAAAAGGATGAATTAACAAGAAAAATGTATGAAATATGTTTTCAGCGATGTAATTTGGTGTAATTCTAGCGCCAATTTACACTCTTTCTATAGTCACTAGAGCAAAGAAAAAATACAAAAGCAGGTGTAAACGTTTTGTTACATAAACATTTTATATAGACTGCCGGATGTTAGTTAGCTGATTTTGCATTTTAATTTCTTCAGGTGAGGATTTATAACTAAGTTTTACGATATTAGAAGATGTAACCAAACCCGTTAAAAAGATGGTCAAACTTAAGGCTATAAACTCTATTTTAACTTCTAAGAAAATGTTATTCCTTATATTATGCAATTTGATCCGTAAAATTTCATTAAAATGTTGCTTGTATTTATGAATTACGTAAATTATAATAATCTATCCAGTCGAAAACTGGACTCTCTGTTTGTTTTACTAATATTATGCATTATAAGCATAACAAATTACTCACATTTAATATATATATATATATATACATAGTTGCACACACAAATGTTATCAAAATTGTTTTGTTTTCATAAAATTTAGGGCAAATGTATTGAATAAACATCATAAAAGCTATCTCATTTATATATTTCAATGGCGATTTAATGTCTAGCTCTCTGACCAATATTTTGATCTTGATAATTATTACGAGAGCATTGGTGATATGTTCTCCATCAGTCGGAGTAAAAAACAAACCAACAACTAGATATGACGTGAACTAAATTTTGTTTCTTAGTTTCTATAAGATTTTGTTGTCCGAAACGGAAAGGTTTAAAACGTATTTATTTACAGATGTTGTTTTCCGCGCGGCTCCATCTTTCCTGAAAGAATGGGTGTTGGCAAGCAACCATGTGTTTTGTTCCAGTCTTTGAATGAAAGTGGAGGCTGAGAAACGTTGTTGAATTGACGATAAGTCTCTCCAGGCTTGACGCTGGAAGTCTTCCAAAACACTACTGGCTACTGATTGCGCAGACTGTAACATAAAAGTAAACAAATATTGTTTGAGCCATCAGAACTACATATCATTATATTCACTGAATAAAATACCTATTTCATGTACTAAAGAAAACAACCATTTACGCAAATTAGAATTTGGATAAAAATTATTAGTCAGTATGGGTCTTGAAATGAAGTTTTTGTTGACAGAACACATAAGTGGATCTTGAACCTACGTGACGGAGAACGTGACTGGACCTTACAACGCTACAACTGACAGTGTACAAGCAGAAGTATTAAATATTTGATAGCCGAATTATATGGCCAAAGTATTCCAACTGCATAGAAGCTTTGCCATTTTTTGTTGATATTAGATTTTTATAGCATCATATCATTACTTTGGAAGATTAAGTGTTCCTCGTCTTTAGGTTTTTTTGTGTGTTTTTTTCTCGATGGCTCAAATCGGCACTTTTCCATATGTATGCTGTTGAATTTTGTTACTTTGTATAAGCCTTTTTTTATAATAAGAAACAGCAAGAGAAAGTATTAGCCGTTAAAACTTCCTTGTTGAATGTTTAACTTACTTCAAGTTGTCCACATTTCAATATATGAAATTGTAATGTTTCAACCTGATCGGTGTTATATGCACACGTAGGCTAAACACAAGTTGACCAGAAGCAGGTAAGGTTGTTCATAGGTTATTTGGTTGTAATTAAGCATAAAGTTACAATATGGGCTATCTGTGCTCTGTCCACCACGGTTATCAAAACCCGGTTTCTAGCGTTGTAGATTCGCAGACAAACCGCTGTGCCATTGGGGGGCAAGAAGGAGGGAGCAAGCCAACAGCATCAGCTTGGTTCCTTGAATCGAATAACGGGAGTGATTGTTACTTTTATAATGAGCCCAAAATTGAAAATACAGAGCATGCTCAGTGGCATCACGTCTCTAACTTTGGGCTCATTGATCCGTAGCTAAATACTAGGCTACGCCTGACACATATGTAATTTGACGTGAAAAAATAGAAATGTTATTATATAAGTTTTTAGATATCTAAATACTGTTGTGATCACCTATAGGAAAAATACATCAAAAGGGATAATTTTGTATGTAAAATTCGTCAAATGTTGGTTAACTCACTCATACCTAGTTATATTTACAATTAATGTTTAATAAAAAATCGTGTTTACATGAATATATTATCTATTGATTTTAGTGTATTATTTGCTGACTTCAAATAATCTTAAAGTACGATTACTGATAACATATTTTACTCCTGAACTAATTAATCCTGATTACACTAACACTCTAGGAACAAGTACTTATAAGTATTTACTGTACAATATTAATATTCGACACTCGAATTTTGTGTTGATCGATATTATAATAAATCACTTATTACTGAATCATCAAAATTGCATCAAGACTCAATTATTGATTCATCAAAAGCTGACACATATTTGTTTAATTGTGCTTTCATCACTTTTATTATCTCCTATGTCACGTGACTTTTCAATTTCTTTCAACTTTAAAGCCTTTATTTAAATCAAACACTCACATGTAACATCTCCAGTATCACGTGATATCTCTGTTTTTCGTTCATAATATGTACTCTGTCCTCCATTTTGGACACAAGCCGGTGAAGGATGGTTAGGATCTGAGTAATATCACCTCCGTAGAGGGGCTTCGTACGGGTAATCACCGCCAACTCTGCTGCTATGCTGACAACTGAATCTCCTCCATCGATCTGAAATCGTTTGTGTAGACCAAGCGTAATTAACCATTCAAAGAATGTACTTTTTCACAATATTAACATTTCTTTCTTGCTTCTTCTGTTCATTACACTCTCTGCCTCTTTTTCTTTTTGTCTATCTGAATGTTATTATTTTCTCAAATATATTAGCATAATTTTGTCCAAAAACATATAATGGCTGAGCGTGGGAAACGTTGCTGTGGGTTTAATTGAATAACACAACTACAGTCCTTACGTAATTTGGATAAAGCTTTAAAGACCATAGATTTCAAAAACCACATTTATATAAGTTTCATATTGCTTTTAGCTACATAACGACTATCTGCACTCAACCGCCTCAAATTTTGAAATGATATACTAGAAAAAAAGGCAGCTAATCAATAGCATCTATCAACTATACCCTTCGGCTACTCTTGCCGGAAGAAATATTCTAGTGCACCCAATACTCCAAAGTGTGGAATGCGTTTTTGTTTTTTTGTGGTAACGGGACCGAACCATGAATCATTAGATTCACAGTCCTGGTACACTAACCAATATACCACGTCCAATTAAGTCATTGATACTTCAGTAGTAACTGTAACACATATGTATTGGTATTTAACAGAGATATAAAGCAATGACGAACTAAGGCCTTGAAATAAAGTTGTACACATCAGTGCTCGTAAAAAAGTGTAAGAAAATAAATTTATAATTTATGCTGAAAAACATATACAACCCAAGTTAACATATTTTGACTTTCGTATTACTTCTCTAAACATAACTGTTTATTAGATACATACGTGTGTATACGTCTGATAAAATTGTTTTTTCGTCTTTTCGAAGCCATCAAAATAATTTCATACTGTTCAAAATAATTGTTTACTTTCGGTAAGCATAGACAAGATTCGAACCTAGACCAAGTATTTCATCGATTAAAAACTGTAGCAAAAACTATCGTAATCTTAGTTTTTATTGGCCAGCAAATGTTCCTAACAAACCACTCCAAATATAATGACTCGTCGAAATGAGTTAAGCTGTTACAGCACCGATGGATAATTTTGTTAAACATAAATTTTTGATTTTGTTTTTCTCGAATGCGATATACTGAAGGAAAATAAAACGAATGTCTTTGGGTATATAAATGCACGTGTGCGTGTGTAGATGCGGATACGAATGAACGTAATTATTTTAATCTTCACAATATATCGAAAACAGTACCTCGAAACATTTGAAGTTTGTAAATGGTGCACATGTAAAGATTTTAAGCTTCAAGCAGTTCGGATATAAGTGACAAAAAATACACAAACATTTTCTGCTAGTCCTACTGTCATGTGTTTCCTAAATGATTTAAAAGTTAAAAAAAAAGAAAAGGTCAATATGTGTGCATATTTAGGAAACAGAAAAATAAAGATTTTCCGCCAACAAAAAACAAAAATTCTCACAATCTTAGCTGCAAGTACGGAGGAACTTACTCTGCGTTTCAGACTCTCCGCCCAAGGCGACTGACACTCACTGAGATCCGGCAGGGCATCGCTCCAGTGCACTGTAGTGACTGCGTCAACACAATACCACTTGGCTCGACCTGGAAAACGAGATTCCCAAAAGTCTGAATAGCCCATTTACTTTACTAAAAGAGATATTGAGTATCATTTATGGGAAACATAGCCCAATAAATCCAGAAATGTTATGAACCTCTCCTTAGAAAGAGTTCTACAGCAAGTGCTTTTGTTACCCACTAAAACATCTGTCCAAAAGTATTTTGTTTCTGTTTGTTGTTGTTTTTATTTTGTTTGTTTTTCAAAGAGATAACTTAAAAGTTTTGATCGGATCAGGAAAATGTACATTTCATTAAAAATATAGAACAAACAGCATAAAATAGATATAAAACTTTGATGAAAAGACAACAACGGCAATGTATCTGATTAGTATACGAGGATAGCATTGTGATATTGTTGAATATTTCTGTTTTTAAACTTGGAACACATTAAATAATAATTACTCAGAATAGCCACCAGAACTGAGTGTAGTCAGAAGCGATTTATTATCATTATATATTTTGTGCATATGTGGAGAGAAACAACCTCTTTGGGGGTTTATCTGACTTCCTTATATTGTATATTACTTTCAGAATAACGCCGAGCTTTGTTTATGCTTTTCTGTTCGCCATCATCCAGCAAGAACATGTATAAAATATACACATTTCTTATTTGTTAATTATTAATCAGTATTTAATATATATATATAATGTATAGTTCATGTTATCTACCTAGTATTAAAACATAGCTAGCATGGCTACAATATAGAAATATATGTATATTGTGATTACTTAGCAAACAACTTTTTCAAATGTAGATTTCAACACCAAATTTCTACATATATTATGTCAAAGATCTGAAGTAATATGACGAAAATACCGAAAAGAATGACAATATTTATCTCGATGTTTCTGTTGTTAAACAAAATGCTCTTCAAAAACTAAGTTAAACTTAATAATTTTCTTATTAACAAAAAATAATCATAAAAGTTGACTGTAAAGAAAGCCTACCTGAAAATAATTACCGGTATATATTTGATGTCTTATCTAAAAACCAGGTTCACTCATTATTTTTATATAAAAACCATATTCAAGCCTAGAATAGCGAATAATTCAAAATGTTTCGTGTAATAGTGTTTTCAAATGTTGTACTTACGACTCCTTAAGGGCAATGCATTTCATTAGAATCGAGCTACATACGTAAATGGCTTCAAAGCCTCTTATAGACGTTCTAGAATAGAAATATCAAAGTTTCTACTTAAAGTATTTAAAACTTGGCTCAATTTTCAGGAATTTTGAAAATCATAACAAAACATCTTATCTGTAAAACATCTGATATTAAACTCAATATTTCAAAAGCAAATATAGAAACTATGATAGAATTTATTCCGTTTTCATTCCGTTTATTCCGTGTAGTGAATAAAAATGATATTCGTTATTTACAGACCACCTGTAAAATATTTTTATATTAATAGTGTTAAAGACTTACCTACAGACCCTCTAGGACATGGTTCGATAGCTTCCTGTCCTCTCCTTGTCCAATCCCATGATATATTTCTGGACACAGTTGGTGGGCAAGAGGTCAAGATGTGGTCTGTTTTGTCTGCTGAAGATAAAATACTGTACATATTTTCATGGCCTGTTAATTAGCCATAAGGATAATTGTAATTGTGACAAGTAAAATATAAACATGTTTCTTCAAACTTTTCTTGTCACTATAATGATTAAAATAAAACTTTTAAAATCAGTCAGAAAATGATGAAAGGGTAACTTCAAACCTTACTAACTATTGTCCGTACCGTACTCAAGTGCATTGATCTCTACATTTCTGTTCATATTCAATCTCTATGTTTTTGAAAAGTTTTTAATAAACATTATTCAAATCTTTGAAATAAAATTTCAAGGGGGGAGAAGTTAACTAAGTTGAATTTATTGTGTCATCAACAGAGTGCAAAAGTAATTTTACTTATTAACAATACACTACATTTTTTTATTCACACAGGAAGACAATAAAAACACAATTACTCACTCAGGTAGAAGACCTGGGAAAAAGGATTAAGCAAGGTACAATATTTTAAAGGAAATATATTAAAGATCAGAGTTGTTCTCTTAGTTGAGGAACCATATATGACGAAAAGGATTAAATGAAACATTACTGGTTGTCCAGTGAGGTAGCTCAGGGGAAGAGAAACAGTTTTATAAGGCATAGTTTCATGCTTAATAATGGATCTCCAGAACAGGAATAAATAAAATATAGATACTCGTCAAGAGAGACAGGAATAAATAAAATATAGATACTCGTCAGGAATAACAGAAACAAATAAAATGTAGATATTCATCAGGAGAGACAGGAATAAATAAAATATAGATACTCGTCAGGAGAGACAGGAATAAATAAAATATAAATACTCGTCAGGAAAAACAGAAACAAATAAAATGTAGATATTCATCAGGAGAGACAGGAATAAATAAAATATAGATACTCGTCAGGAGAGACAGGAGTAAATAAAATATAGATACTCGTCAGGAGAAACAGGAATAAATAAAATGTAGATAATCGTCAGGAGAAAAAGGAATAAATAAAACGTAGATACTTGGCAGGAGAAACAAGAATAAATAAAATCTAGATACTCGTCAGGAGAAACAAGAATAAATAAAAATCTAGATACTCGTCAGGAGAAACAAGAATAAATAAAATCTAGATACTCGTCAGGAGAAACAGGAACAAATAAAATGTAGATACTCGTCAGGAGAAACAAGAATAACTAAAATATAGATACTCGTCAGGAGAAACAGGAATAAATAAAATGTAGATACTCGTCAGGAGAAACAGGAATAAATAAAACGTAGATACTTGTCAGGAGAAACAGGAATAAATAAAATCTAGATACTCGTCAGGAGAAACAGGAACAAATAAAATATAGATACTCGTCAGGAGAAACAAAAATAAATAAAATATAGATACTCGTCAGGAGAAACAGGAATAAAAAATATAGATACTCTTCAGGAGAAACAGGAATGAATAAAATATAGATACTCGTCAGGAGAAACTAGAATAAATAAAATATATATACTGGTCAGGAGAAACAGGAATAAATAAAACGTAGATACTCGTCAGGAGAGACAGGAATAAATAAAATGTAGCTAATCAAAAAAATGATTAACCAACAACCAGTTACTCCCTCTTTTAACATTTTAAGATTTGATTTTAAACATTCTTAATTGCGTCATTTTTCAACTCGTTAATAATCATTTTTCTTAATTATAATTCTTGAATCTACTTCTTTTACAAAAAACTGAAACTAGTGTTTTACTAATGAATACATTTTAAATTCATCCCCTAAGTTAATAATTGCCAAATAAATGCAAAAAATAATTTTTAAACATGTTTTATTTACCTTTCCTTTTTTTTACTATTTTAAATAGAAGTTACGCTTACCATCAGTCTTCCATGTGCTCTACAAGTATGTTCGTGGAATTTCATAAGATGTTTATATTTTCAACAGAATATATCGATAACTTAACCTTTAAAAAGAACAATTGTATAATTAAAAAAATAGATGTATTTTGTGTTATTTAACTCATAGAATGTGTAAACAACAACACCTTTATTTGGATAAATGTTCAAAGGCTTTCTTGAAGGGGTTTCTGAGGCTGCTACTGATGGAGGTGATGCTGCTCCTCGGACAGAGGGCGCTGTCGTATCAAAATAGGAAGATGACGGAAAATGTTGGATTTTAGAAGATAATGTATTTGTCGTTGCTGATGTCGTGGTTGAAGGAAACAAAGGAAAAACTGGGTGAAAACTAAAAGTAACTGGGATTATTATTGATGGGCGATTTGCGGTTGTAGTCGTCGTGGTTGATATTGTTGTTGGAATAGTTGTTGATTCTAAAAGAAGAGAAGACGTCAAATGTGATAAGTATATTAAATATTCTTGGCACCATTATTTATGTTTTAGTTCGTGATTATGAATCAAATGCATAAAGATTACTGGTGAAAATTGCCTCGACCTACCATCGACATTTAGAAATATCTAATTGCAAAGACTAGTAGAAAGGTGAAAAACGTTAATTGATCAATAACTTTGACTCTTTGCATTACCACTGAAAGTCATCCATCTACCACCCAGAAAAATAAAAGCTTTATAACTAAAATGTTTAAAGTTATTGTTTTTAAAACCCCACACTTCGAAACATTGGCGAACAGGATAAAATGATTCTGTCAAATGCAATGAACAGAGCGTCGCTATACATTTTATTATAAACCGCATATAAAGTACGCTGTCTTTGATATAATGATTAATAGCAACCGCTCAGGTGTTGAATTTCTGAGTACTTAAAGTTTTGCATATCTCTTCAGCTTTAGATGCTCTAATTCTCTTCGAGGTATCCATTGTTTCGTCCTCAACCTTTACTTTGTGGTTTAGCAGTTCAGCCGAGCGACAAAATATGAAATATTTCGACTTATCTAACAATTTTAAAGCTATTTGAACTTTTATTATTTAACAATAAGTAAGCCTAATCCTTTAACAAAGTCTCAAAATCAAACTTTAAAAACTTAATCTTGACGCCTTTTGGAAATTTTACTGAGCAGATCAAACAAGCCTAGGCGTAACAAAAATAAGAACAGTTTTGATCAATATTTAGCATACAAAATATCCCTAGAATAGTCTTTCTTAATTAACTTTCCATTCCATAAGTTAATTCAAAACTTCAAAAATGTTAATCTACCTTAATTAACTGTAACAGTTTTTAAAGTATATAGATTCATAATACAACGCGGTCCTTGGAGAAACACCCAATAAATAAACCGAGTATTCTAATTCTGATGTATTTAAATGTTCTTTGAGACTATCATTCCAATAACTCAAAACTAAGATGCCAGATAAAGTTAGTTAATAAATACCACACAAGTACACGTTTAACTTAAAACACAGATCAATAATGTTAAGTTATTAAACCCAATCATGGAAAAAAGCGAACTAAAATCTTCCACTCTATTTACCTCTAACTGAAACAAGATGTAATTTTAGCAAATATATTTTATTTCTGTTTAAACATTACAATTATAGGTGCAGACACAATATGTAAGGCAGAGCTGAAAGAACAAAACATTGAAAGATGGCTACTGAAACTTAAACCAAAATATCTTAATACAACTGGTTTGTTTGTTTGAAGTTATGCACAAAGCTACACAATGGGCTATCTGTGCTCTGCCCACCACGGATATCGAAACCGTTTTAGCATTATAAGTCCGCAGACATATCGCCGTGCCACTGGGGGGCAAAACAACTGATAATTGATAACGGGTTTAGAATGTCACGCTGAATATATTTTCTTATATAAAATAAATAGATGACAACTAGTGATGATTTCTGGTAAGGACAAAAATGTAGGCTAACTATAGAGGTGAAAACTACAAAATAGCATATAACGTAATGAAGCTAATTTTATAAAACAAACTGACAAGAAGTAGATAATGTCATACATCAGTACGCAAGAAAACTGAAACCTATATTGATTAGAATGCATTGAATCATCAGTTGGGTACTTTCCTGTTAACGATATTTTTGGCCGTAATCCCAATAATATCTGACTGGTTCTAAATAGATATATTAAGCTAATGATACAAACCAATATTTACAAGTGTTAAATCAAGAAGAATATATGTTAATAGCAAAAACCTTTTAAACATCATAACCAAACACTCTAATGAAATAATCTTTAAAGAAAAATAATGTTATTACTTACCAAACACATAAAACCAGCTCTTATAAGGTCTACACAGCTAACAAAAACCCGAAACCATATTACGTTTATAAGCGTTTCCGTACAGACTAATTAATTATAAAGAAGAACCTCGTACTTAAAATGATTATACCTTTAAAACTACTTTCCTTGGAAGAGCTACGTTTCATTAGATGCACACTGAGAATCGTGGCTTTTATTACAGGTGACTTAGGTGGTGGTACAGGATGTTTCACGAACTGCCACAGAAGGTGTTCAACATACTTTTCGTCATTCCCAATCAGCATATCAAGTCTTTTGCTAAATGATGCTACTACAGGCTTAATTTGTTTTGTTACAGTACTCGTTAATTTTATAACCACGGCTCGAAGTCATTCCGCCTTATGATACTTGAAACTATTTGTTAGAAACGTTTTTAACATGATGTAAAATATGAAGGGGTTGTCCCGTCTCGTTGAAAAACGTTGCTCTCAATGCTTCTTTTTCTCCTCAGACATGATCCTCCACCATTTTCTCACAGTATATTCCATTTACCAAAACAGTGTGAGCGTAGCCAGTTTCATCAACCACTACAAAAAATTAGGATCGACGATGGATGTACTAATGAAGCCGTATCTTTCAGTAATATAATGATTATATGTACGCTTCTGGTGAATAGCATATGGAGTTTCATCGTCATAGATAACACATTTATTGAGTTAATATATCCACGAGTATCAAGGCAGGTTTCATTCATCAATGATTCAAATCTGGACAAAACCCAGAGTCAAAGAGTAAAAATAGATCTCCATTCTTAACGCGTGCAAGAGTCTAAAGTGAAAAGCTTTAAGTTTAGTGTTTATTTTTTGTTTTTTTCACTTTGCATTTTACGATATATCAAAGTCCCGGGCAGCATTTTTTGCACTTTCCACCCAAAAGTAATGCTTTTTATTTTTGTTTTGGAAAATCTAAGCAGCATCTGCAACCTTTACAGATACATTTGTCACCAAAATGAGGATCACCTTTTATGAATTCTGTTGCCTAGAGCTAACGAATTATTCTTATAAAATCTTTTAGAACGTCCGTTTTATATCTGAAAATGCCTTTGGGCCAAACTAAAACTACCATTATTTTGATACGACATTCAGCCACATTATTCTGCACTTCGACACGCATTTTGAAATCATGAGTTGTTGAAAGAGAGACAATGAAATAAAATTAAATCTAGTTTACGAGAAAAGTTATTTAGATATGTAGTAGAACATGGTTTTGAAACACTCAGCTATAGGCTTAAACTTTCCCAGATCTAACTCATAATTTTCAGTGTGACTGTATTGAAATTGTGTTTCCCTAAGACAGGAAGTTTTTCAGATATAGTAATTTTAAATGTTTTTTTCATAATACCCTATATTTGCAGTAAAGCATATCCAGTAATAAAAACTAATAGGAGACACATAAAAGGCTAAAAATCTTGAAAAAAAAATCTAAACGTCTTAAAAAGGATTATATCGATTCTCTTACTGACTTCCTAAAAAAGGATATAACAAAGTGTAACAAATTTAATTTACACTTTTACCTTGAAACTCTATAACATTTAATGCGATATTTTTACTCACCGTTCTTATTACATTTGTAACCACCTGAGAAACACATACTTAATTTTCTCACCTGCTACACATTCGTAATGGACTTCCAAGTACTTCCTCGTTCCTGGACAAGGATCTCCAAAGATGGCACTGGAAGCTGTGACAACACAAGTTTGTTTCATCGCACACCTACAAACAAACAAAAAAGTTACTATACAGTATTAGTGTTATAGATAGTATACTTGGATGAATATATTTATTTAATATGACGTAAACATTACATAATAAATAACATTATTTTATGGAAGTTAGTCAAGCCAGAATAAACGATATATATATATATATATTATCAACTCTAAGATCGCTCCTATTTTTTTTTTTTTTCATTTACATTCCAAATAAAACGTAATACTTGGAGTATTGTAGTATCTAGAGTTAAATGATACACACAATATTTAACTTATTAAAATATACTTCATAAGTTAATTCATTCAGTACAAGGGTTAGATAAATTGGGTACTTCTGTCAGTAATATATCAATGCCAGTAAAGTTTGATGTACTTCGGTAGAGGCCTACTTTTGAACATTGAAGTTCCCTACTGGCTCAGTGATAAGGTTAAGAGCTATAATACTAAAATTCGTGGTTCAATTCTCCCACAGGGCCTCAGTCACAATAACTCATTGCAAAAATTTACGAGTTATTAATAAATTAAGAAACCTTTGAAGATCTTAGTTAATTCAAACTACTTTGAATAATTTTGGCTATCTTAAGTCATAATAACCATCTCCAGTCATTTAATAAGAAAATATCACTTTTTACGATTAATATTTAAAAAAATCTTATTATGATAGAATTCACGAGCACGGAAGTACGTATATTTGCGATAACATGATATTTTTTGCTACTTAGGTCGTTCATGGAACTTGCAGACGAAAAATAAAACTGCATTAAACGCCAACAACAGCGATCCCTAACTGAATAGTATGAATTAAGAACTTTTAACATAGTTTTTACTTAAGGATCTTCTTCTTATAGCAGGTTTTATTATTCTATAGTTTTATACACTTTAATCTTCCAACCTGCCTTATAATGCTTTAAATTCTAAGGTCTACTAAACAGAGGTTTTTCAAGAAAACAAAATTGTAACTTCCGATACAATTTCTCTTGCTTCTTAAGATACTCTCACACTGTACAAAACGTAAACACTAAAGCACATATCCAGAACTTACTAGGGAAGCTTACCACAGTAAGAAAAACAAGGTTATTTATATAATGCTTAAATTCATCTGCTACTACTGGAAGTGTTTTCATTTAATTTTAGAGTCAGTTAAATCCAAATGGTTCATGCTATGCCTCTGTCCATTAAACTAAGTATGAACTAATCCTATTGAGAAGAGAAAGAACAAATTTTGATGTCTAAGGTACTCATCCCTTACTTAGGTGTATATAGGATAAACTCAAAGCTTCATCTTTAAGAAAAACGTGAGTCGAAAGTTGTTTTCGTTTCGTCTTTCATATTCAGTTTCTAAATTCTAATATTTAAAGACTTAAAAATACAACAGAATAGTCTTTCATGCATAATCATAATATTATTATTTAATCAATTCCCATTCACTGTAACAGCGATTTACATTAAATTATCTTAAACACGCGCATTTATCTGTTTCTATAAGTAGTATTCATTGTATCTGGGGAAATCTTACTAATGTAAGTTACTTAGATTTAAATTAAAGAAAAAACTAATTAAATTCATTTATAGATAATTACTTAGATAATTAGATTTCACACATTTTTAATGGAACTAAATTCAGTTCAAACTTATATATCTAATGATAAAAAAGTATTTTGAAGTTACTACTATATTAAACAGGATTTAGGTGTAAATAAAAAATAAACATAAGATTTCATATTTACAGGAATTTTATTCTTACATCTAAAGATTTATTGTACAAAGATTTTTTTGACACCAATAACACAAACAGTTTCAAAATTATTAATTTTCTGTCTCCAACTTTCAGTGAACATTAAAACAAAATAGAATATAGTAAGCTTAACATTAAGTACGTATCAAGCCCAAGGCGAGGGAATATCAATATTGAAAAAGGAAGGATTTAAGCAAACTTGTGAGTACGATCAACTTTGACGTTTTGATTTATTATTCACTGAAATTTCAGAGATTACTAAAACTTTCAATAACTGAAACTGAATATTCGATGCCGGTGTTCTACTTGCATATTTCGGAAGCTAAGTAATCTTTTATCAGTCAAGAAAATGTTGATATATCTTTAAAAATATAATAATAATCAGCTATCCCAGTTAAGACCAAAACAATAAACGTTATTATTAAAAAATATCAAATTGTTCATAGGATTTTATTGATATAAGATACGAATTAAAATGTAGCATCTGAAAATCGACATTTTCAATAGGTCCATTGAATTTGAGAATTTTTTTTTTAATTCGATAATATTTATAGGGTTATGTTTATATATCCTGACTTGGATATATCTCTTCTTCTATATATATTCACTAAATATCATTATAAGCATAGATTCAGTATCACAACGTATATGTTTGTTTTGTTTTTTTTACCGGCAAAAATGTTTAGAAGGATGGGTAATTAGCTATTTAATTCACATAGGATGAAATTATAAATCAAAATTAGAACCCAAAGAAAGAAGAAAAAATGTACTTAATTCCATACCTTGAATCACTAACCACCGTATCGAAGATCTTTGAAATATTTTCAAGTGTTTTTTGATATGTTTATATTAACTCTTTCATCTTCTTTTCTCATTAAAAGACTTTCAATAAAATTTAGATAACTCCACACACACACACCGAAACTGAAGTTTCAAATTTTAATACAAGATTATAAGTTCAAATGATTTCGTACATAAAATTGCAACATAACTTTGTTAGCACTAAGCAGAGGATAAAAAAATCAGAAAAAATTAAATGAAGGCAGAACAGTAATCGATCAAAGTAAACTTCTTCCTCAAATCATAACTGAGACGATGGGTGCCGCCTTAGAATCTTCAACTAAAGTCGATTTGTAATTAATATTTCCAATATTTTGAAGACAGCAGAGATTCTAATAACAAGAAACGAAATCTGAGCTTTGATCAGTTGTTGAGGTAATTGAATGATAAGACTCCATAAATGACATCATCTATTTTATCAAAACAAACCAGAGTTGCCCACTAAATTTATTCAAAATTTATCAGAAACATTTTTTATAATAGTACCTCATGTGTACACAACAGGCAAAGTCGATTCGATGTATGAAAAACAATAAATCTAAATAGACAATTTTATATTTTTGTTTATGTGTTTGTTTTGTTTGTAATTAAGCACAAAGCTACAAAATGGGCTATCTGTGCTCTGTCCACCACGTGTATCGAAACCCGATCTCTAGCGTTGTAAGTCCGCAGACATGCCGCTGTGCCATTGGGAGCATTTTTGTTTATATTGCTACGTTTTCCTGGAAGTCTTCTAGCTTACGTGATCTGTGAGAAAGTAAGAGAATTAATTAATATGTCTTTTTATCTCTCGTCCATTTATTTGTTAATACACTATGACGTAGTTCGCTTGTTGAAGAAAGGGACAAGTAACTAAGGCAGTGATGTTATCTTTGCCTAAATAGAATCGGTTTGTTTAACACTTACTGTGCAGGTATAACAACCTCATCATCAGCCATATTTATAACGTTTATACAGTCTTATGAAGCTATTCCCACAATAAGAGAAAACAGTTCTGTTTGCTTTTAATTCACCTTTTTAATCCGTTGATCTGCTTCAATATTATAAGTCTGTTAAGTAGTTCCAGAGATCTTTTATTGAAAAATTTCTTTCAACAGTGAGTTTGCGTAGTAAAAACAGATCTTGAAGAAAAAGTATAAGCAGATTACTCTAGTCAATCATGAGCATAATTACCGTATAATACAACTAGGTGGTTCTAATATTCTGAAAAATATGCAAGTTCTTGAGCGCAAGTGCAACAATACAATTAGTTGATTATAAGTTTAATAGTAATATAATAAACATATAACTAGTTTGTTATACATACAGCAGAGCTAGAAAGTATACATATTGCCGGCTATAAGTACTTCTCGCTGCCAGATTATAATACAAGTTAATTATAAGTAAAAAAGAATAAATTGGCTTGATTACAGATTAAGTAATGCTATAAAGTTAAACATATATCTATGGTATCAGATTCATTACATGGAAAAATTGTAACATACGAAAGGTTTCTAGGAAATCTCTCCGCTGTTACTTTTACCGCTGCGAGTTTCTGGGTCCGTTACTGGACTCTTCGGCAAGTAAAACGTTACAAGTATTGAATTCACCATCTTACTTTAAAATACTTATAAACATATCGCTAAGGCAACAACACCCCAGCAACTAAAACATCAAACTGAGTTAATAAGAATAGATAACCAATAAATCAAAAATGTAATGGAAATCTAGAAATGCTTATTATAGGAGCTACATAATCATATAAATATAATTACCTAGAAATATACAATTTTTATGTAATTATATTTATATGATTCTTTACGTTCCTGTAAAATGTATTTTTAATTTACTGATGTCCAATTCTCTAAATATCAATACGTTTTGAAATCAATTGTTTTTTGTAATGACGAGTTATGGAATTTATTTCAATCTATACAGTACTTCTTATAATTAATATGTGGTATTAAATCCAATGGCGTATAAAGATTATTGTCTTGAATTACAGCATCTAAAGGAAAGGGGCTTGTTAGAGTGATGAGGTATTCATCACTCTGGATGTCTTTTTAATATGTTTAGATTTCTAGTGAAGCTTGTTTCAACGGCAAATACTTCTTTTTCCTCTGTGAATTATACAAATCTGGCTATTCATATCAGACTATGTCGCCATAAAATATAACTGTTACCTATGTATCTGACAGAAGGTTGTGGTTTTACATTCCAGCCTTTGGCATATAATGCTCTGATAGTATTCGGGGAATCGTATTCAGATTTTCGACAATCTTTTGTTGAGACTGTTGAGTTAACTTTGGTATTTTATATTTTTGATTTTATTGTTTTAGCACTAGAATAAGGACTTGATCTATATATATATATTATATTTCTCATTTTTTTCAAATTATCCTTTATATTTAATTTTTGTAATTTCATTACATTTCATCTTTGGTTGTTCCAGCATCATTGTTCGAAAATTTTTTTGTAAACATTTCACAGTATTTTGGAGAATACAATTTTTTTTGCATTTCGAGTATGAAAGTCATCAGTAAAAGAGTAAAAAAAACCTAGAGAAGTAAATACATTATTATGTTCGTGACGAAGAATGTTAAATTATAGGAGGTAAATGTGCAATTACTTTAAAGCTGTAAAAATAATTCATCATAAATCTAACATTATTTTAAATGGTTTAAACCTTTAAAAAAAATGTAGTTATATAAGCAAATATAGTTGGTTGAACATGTAAGAAAATTGTATTGATTGTAACATAATTGTTAAAAAAAAAAGGCCCCCAAATATCAGAACAACTTTCACCATTCGGGATGGATTACTTATTAATAGCAGAGAAGGATTGTTCATTCTAACTGAAATGTAAGTTCTGAGCCTCATTCTTTTGTAACTCTCCGAAGTCAAGCGAAATGGACGACAAGACGTTGAATTATAAAAGATGCTTAGGGCTTCAGTTTAGGGAGTTTTCTCTCACCACTTTCGAGAAATCTGAAAGAGCTCACTATTTTTTATGTTTTTAGTTGATGCAATTTCAAAATGGTAAATACAAAATGATGATTAATACGGAATGTATACAATGTTAACAGGTATTTTTAACTTAATAAAGCCTGATCTTCATATCTTCTTCACAAGTAGTAAATATATTTGGGTCCGATGAAAGTTTTGACAGAATATTTGGTATAACGAGGGCTTTAAAGAACATAAGTAACAATTTATATATCGTCACAAAAATGACAACTATAACGTATACATTTATAGACGTGACAACTACGATCTGCATGTCTTAATAAATATGAAAACTACGACCTATCTTAGTTTCATAAAAATAGTTCAATTTTTAACAGGAAACCCTAGCTAGTATATGGAAAATGAAATATAAACATTGTAAATCTCAACAAACTATAGCAAAGTATGTATATGAAATGTATAAATTTTGTCTGAGCGCATCTATGTAGGTTACTGGAAGTGGCAGAGACTTAGTAAAAAAAATACCATAGTAAGTTAAGAATTACTTTTTAACAACCTGGAGTGACTTAATAGTTATCGTGTTGGGTTGCGGATCGGAAGGTTTAAGCGCGTGATACGCCACTGAACAAGCTTCACTTTCCTTCTGTGAGTGTGTTATAAAAGTAACAGTGTAGGCGATGGTTAATCTTCCCTGGTTCAGCAATTATAAATTAGGCATATTTATACCTGAATCTTGGAGTCTCAGACCTGGTCGTTTAGCCCATGTGTCACATAAAGTGCTATACAGGTTGACAAATACCAAGCTACTGCTACTGAACACAGTTGAACTACGTATAAATGAAACATGTCTAAATGTCAATAAATATGTTTGCAATGCAGAATTAAAATGCAAAATAACTAAATTGAAATTCTAGCTGAAGTAACAAACCCTGACTTGTTCTGATGAAAGTATTTAGCTTTAAATAAGTCAATAGTGTTGCATTTTTTTACAGATATATATTAGATAAACTAGAAAAAATAAGATATATCGGAGATAAACTAGAAAAAAAAAGATATATCGGTAACGGTGCAGAAAAAAAAAGTTTTTATACAACAACAAAAAGAGAAGAACTTCCTTTGTTCTTTGTTTTATTATTATCCAACCACATCTTGCAGAATGTGCTCATGTGGGCCTACATAATTTGTTTAATGGCAGGACCTGTCAGTGTTGTGCAGAAGTATTTCACAAATGTCCTTCGCTTCCAAACATACAATACAAATAATTACTAGCGGAATCACGTGTGATATCAATTACAAAAAGTTAGAACAGCAAAAAACAGTTTGAGACTCTGTTTGTCCCTCATAAGATAAAACCAAGCTTAAAACAGTATTTCAAGTTGAATACAATGTGTGTGTATAAAAACGTCTTATTAACACTCATAAAGAGTAATCAATTTTTGAAAGGTTTTTGTTTGTTTGTAATTAAGCACAGAACTACATAATGTTTTAGTTTCTAGCGTTGTATGCCCGCAGGTATACCGCTGTGCAACTGTGGGGATTTTTATATTTGAAAGGAAAGGCAGTATAATTCACGCGATGTGCAACATAATAGCATTTTTATTTGTATATTTATATCATAGAAACTATAAAATATCTATAAAGGTTTCAGTTTTGAATGTTAAACTTGTGTTTAACTAGTTTTAATATTGAATACCATCTGAATAAAATTAATTTATACAGTTATAGGTGTAACACAATACAAATAATTACAAATTTCTGGATACAAGTTCTGACTTCTACCTCGATTTGTGCTATGTTTGAAAAAGTTAAGTAGTTATGGGTATGAAATGTGTTGAATAAAGCTGAACACTACATAAGCAACTTACCAACTTACTTGTAAAATCAAGAATATGACATTCAACTCTCACATACTTACATATGCGTAATTTCGAAATATTTATGTTTTCAGTTACCACATTCTTTCAGTATACTTGACTGATTTAAGATTCTCTTCCAATCAAAATTTTCAGGTTTCTTATAGTTAGTAGCCTACATGATCACCTAAGTGTAATTATTAATTGGATAACACCCACAAACTAGAAAAAAAGAAAACTAAAGAAGCTTTATTCATTCACCAAATTGATAACATATTCAGTCAACCTATCAGAGAAGTCAACAAATACTAGTTGCTCATCTTGAAAGCATTCAAGTCGTAACATGGAATACCTTATTAAGAAGAACAAGATCAAATCTCAGCCACGACTTCCACAAAACAAAGTTTCCTTTAAAAGTTTTCCTAAGAAGGCGCAGATCAGCAACTAAAACGTAGGATTATACTCTAATTAGTATCTACTATTAAAAAGTAAATAATTAGTTTTAAGTGATCACGACAGTGATTGAATTCGGTTTCATAACCTTACAGATGGTTTATAACCCTCTTATTTTACCCCTATCTTTCTTAAATAGTTGGATTAGTAGTTCACTTTATGTTGAATCTCACTTAACTTTCATCATAACTAAAGAAAAACTTAATATAATCATTTTTATTTTTTAATATTTGGATAATAATAATATAATTCATATTTTCCTTAACCTTCTTTAATAAATAAAGCAAAATATCATTTTATATTTAAGGTAAATTAGATTTTGCGACATCCTTACATCTCTTTAATAAGCTGGTAAGCAGATGGTTGTGAAGCGCAGTTCACGCTCCAATCCAGGGAACCGTGCTCATTACAGATTGCGATACTAAAACGTCCATAGTTGGCCCGAATCAGTTGAATGAGTCGTCCAGCTTCACAAGATATGTTCAGATGTATACCCTCGCAAGCATAAGCAGTGCGGTAACGGCGGTGATCTAGAAACAAAAAACATTCCAAAATGTATCTATTTATATACATTATTTACCTATTTACTCTTATTATATTATTTACGAAACGTGTATTATTTTTAGTACACACAGTTGGTTAATCAAATATATTTTTTTATTTAATTTCGGAGCGAGAACAATGAG